TAACCGCCTCCCGGTTAGCTCAATGGATAGAGCGCTGGACTGTTGTGCGGGAGGTCGAGGGTTCGAGCCCCGGCCGGACCAACACTCAGGGTCTTAAAATAATTGAGAAGAATTTGCTGCCTTTCTATAACATCAAGAAATGGTTAGATATTCTAGTCTTCTCGGATAGGGACGAATAAATGGAGGTCCCGTCTCCTGCAGGGTTGGGGTAGGAGACGTTAATTTCCCACACACGAGATTACTGTGTGATGGATGTCCTCCCCTGGGTGGGATGGGTGGGTTTACAGAGGGCCATGTGTTAGAAAACTCTTTACTGGGTTAATCATGTATTTACCCTCTTGAAATAAAGAACTTTGTATTGTATTGTTAAGTCTTTTACAGGGCCTCTTTTCATCCAGTGGAACAAATGAGTAACCTGTAGCAGTTAGGGAAACTTTCATAAGGAACAGTGATGGACTAGCAACCTTTCATACCATGCCGCAATACTCTTAGTCATTTTATTTCTGCAGAGGGTGAGTGATGTGTTAGCAAAAAGTCTCTTCCAAAACAATCTGTGCAAACTCCACTGAATGGCAACATGGTAAATGACCCACACACCCAGAATCCTCAAAATGTTACTCTAACTAAAAGAAAATCTTCCAATTCCAGGTGCCATTATTGTAACCTATCATTTGCTTACCACCTTACAATTTTGACAAATGCCAAAGCATTCATCAGGCTAGTTTGTCATGCATCCTGCCAATCTGAACCTCTTTTCAACAATGGTATAAACTCCAACATTAACTCAACACCACAATACTCGTTAAACTTTATCTGCCTATCACAGCACCATGGTTTAATAGTAAATTTATAGTTAGGAACCCACAGATGTGTATACAGTAAATGGTTTGAACCTTGGGGTAAAGTGTGATAGTGTAGTCTGATCCTCTGGGTGAGTAAAAAAACTGAGAAAGAATATTGTCGTTAGTGGTGACTAACATTTCCAGAAACTAATAATAACTTCCACTCCAGTTGTGGAAATGTCAGTCACCACTACTGACAACAATCCTTCTGAGGACTACACTCACCTGGGCAATCAGACTAAACTATCACAGATTTGTAGATTGTGTTGCTAGTACGTTTCATGTTAACCTTGCTATTTGGCACCAAGGAGAGAGATAAAACAATTAATGTTAAGCATCAAAATAAATAATGCAATTTTAAATTACTTATGATCTCTAATAGATAAATTAGAATTAACCATCTATATTTTAAAGGATTGTCTAACCTTGTCTTCTGGTAAAAGAATATTGGCAGGAATTTTGAAGATGTTATTTTTCACATAAACCTGGAGAATCATATATTATTGTGTAAAGTTATCATCAATATCACTGAAAACCACACTTTGTGACGTGGGCTCCCTGTCAAAAGATCTTACTTATTATTATTATTATATCAACTTCCTTCCAAATTTCTGAAAACTTAAAATAAAACAAAGACTGCTGGTCTAAAATTAAATAACAATATTCTTGACACTTCCCTAGCATGCCATTCGAAACTGGATCATTGGATAATGCAACTCTGGAGTTTTCATGCACACACATGATGACAAGTTAAACTGAAAGTGTTTTTTATTTTTTGTAACATTTTGTTTGTTCTTACCAAACAAAGTCGGGGAGATTTACCTATATTCCATATACATTTTTTTAGTTAAAAATTATTCTCAGCTCACACTTTTTGGATATAAGATGACTATCATCCATATCCAATGCACACTCATGGATTAATTGTCAAATATTTGCTATATTATGATTACCTCAAATCTGTCAAAAGCTGCATCAATACTCTTGTAAAAGTTTTTGATCATTTTCTCACTTTCCTAAAATGAGTAAAATATTTAAATAAGTAACAGTTATCACCTTATGGTTTTTCACTGAGTTATTAATTGTCAAAATTATATAAAGGAGAGTTAAGCTAGCCTGACCCTATGAATCTGTTCCTCTGATTCATCCGATGACGCTGACGGCTACATTGGAATAAAAGATCATAAGAAAGCCTGCAATAATTTCAATTAGTATTGTACTGAGTGTTCTCTTAATAATTGCAATAAAATTGAAACCAGACGTATAAGTGGCACAATGGCACAGCCATATTTTGCTGTAATGTGGCAAGTAGTAAAATTACTGTACTTTTCTCACCCCACTTTTAATAAGACTTTCCAGCTCTTGAAAGCAGTCACCAACATAGTCGTTCACTGCATTGTACACTGTCAAATTGATAAGTAAACAAAAATGGAATGATCGCAATAGAGGTATTTGTTCCTTCATGAATCACTGACATGTCGATTTCCAAATAGTGTATGAATGTGACATCTTACTACCTCCATCGACGAAAGATTCAGGAGTAAATCCGAAGAACTGAGTTTCGTAATCGTATTCTGCGCCCTTTTTACTGGAATCAACCTCCATTTTGTTCTTGTGCCGCCTAAAGTCAGTACACAGAACATACCCTCAACGAGGATTCAAGTGTTATGAAAGAACTCCCGCCAGAATAGCGGACAAGAACTCCTCAGTGAGGTGGAGTAAAAAGGCATTTTTAATATCTAATCAAAGACAAATTTTCTTTCATATGAATACATTTTTCTTTCGGTGATTATCAAAAAGTACATTTTCACTCCACTATCCGTGATCAAACGGCTTTCATTCAATAATCCAAAAACCTATCTATCATAAAATTATTTGCCTCCCTCCCACCCTCGGTTGACTTTTTTTCGCACGCTCACTAGGGGACTGGCACTAGGGTAAAATTCTTCGGTTTGTTTGTTCTCCACAACGGTCAGATATTGTTCTGAAACTGACTTTTTGGCTATGTTTTAGATAATTACCTCCTTAGAGCGATCACTGATCCTCATTATTTAGGTAAGATAGCTATAACAATAGTTGGTTTTGTCCGTGGATGGTGATGGAGAGACGTAATCGATTCTTAAACGTGCAACCCGTTCCGAGTTCTTCAAAAATTCATCTGTACTACTTGTCTCCGATGATAACCGAAGAATCACTTTTCGATCCTTCGATAATTCCATGCAATGTTGATTTTCTTCTTTTAAAGTTACAATCTTTTGATTGTTCAGCTACATACAGAGTAGCTGATTTTGGGTTCTAATTTCAGTATAGAACTACTGGATCGTGTAGTTTGCCTGCAACGCAGAGGCCATCAAAACTTGTTGATCGTGAAACAGACAAAGCAAGAAATTGTTTGTTCACAGGTTCTTGAGAGAACAAATCATTTTGCACAAGTTTTCTTGTTACTGCGACCCAATATGAGTGAGTGTGTACGATTTGTAACGGTAAGACTAGTGCTGCAAAGAGGTCGTGTAATGCAGCCAGGGATGAAGTGGTTGAAGAGCAGTTAGAAGTTGAACAGTGGTTTGTAGAGCAGCTTTTCATAACCAAACTACTCCTTTGCAGATCATTATTTGGTTCACCAATCCCCTTTTCTGTAATGGAATACAGTCCTCGGTCCACAGCATCGTCCATTCCGTATGATTCCACCACATCACACACCATGTCAATGGCAGCTGAGGTTAAAGCTCAACACAGGCAACTATTTAACCCTGTTACACCTGATGTTTCACCACCTCCACAGATGAGTAATGGGGGACTTCGCATGAAGGGTAAAGAAACTGGGGTGAGATGGAATAATTCAACTATTCTGCTTCTCTGTTGGTGTGCAACCTGGAGCTCTGCTCTTAGCCTTAGTTCGCTTCACTCAATCCATCTTTTTGGATCCTTTATTTGTTGTCTCTGGTTTATTCTACCTGAATGGAATGATGAAAACAGATCAGGTCCCTCAAGCTTTGCACTCCTTTGACCTCTCTAAACTCTTCCATTTACTGTTTCTCAGTCAGTGTTGGAGGTAGGCAATGTGACAAATGCAGATATTCAGGAAATGGAGCAAGTGAGAGAACATCTGCAACTGATGCTGCAGAACTGTAAAGGATATACAGATCAGAGTGATAATGAACAAACTCCAAGAACAACCACAGGTGACTATTTTATCATAAACACCTCTCTCCTGTTTTAAGCTGTGCATTTAGTTCTTCCAAGCTGCTGAAGACAAAGTAGCTTGGCATAGATTCACTTCAAAGAATTTCATATGAATGACAATACTATGTGGCCAGTTTTGAAGGAGTGGCTTCTTCTGTATAACAATGATCATTCAAAAGAACCTCAACTCTATATTTGACCTTACTTTTACAACCTCCATCAAATCTACTGTTTTCCTCTGTTGCAGACTATGAAATACAAGAAAATGAAAGCGACAAAGAGTCCACCATAAGTGTGGAAACAACATCCTTGTTGCGAAGACTTCTTCCAAATTCTTCCCCACTTTCTGAAATTCAGGTAAAATGTGTCAACTCAGATTTCAAAGAACTTCCTCTGCTTTATGAACCAGCTTAAGATAAGAGTCACATTCAGACTTGAAGTTCTAAATGCTTCTTATCTATTTGCGATCAGTTAATTATTGAATAAGATTATACTATAATGATTATTAAATATTTCCCATCTGATAGGTTAATTTTCAAACTCCTGAGCAAGGTGTTTTGTCTCATGATCAACATACCAGGCAGATGGTGTCATTCACTTGTGACAGGAGGTTGAATGCAATTCCTACCAGTAAAGTTACCAATGAGAAAACACTACTGTCTGAAAATTCTTTGCTTAGAGATCAGGTGGAGAAAGAGCGGTTTAGAAGAAAGGTTTGTAACAGCACACACTGCAATGATGATTTATACTATATAGAGATGGAGTTAAATGAGGATGTGTCAGGTTAAGGTACTTTATTTTGGTTATTAATCAAGTTTTCCATATATGATGATGCTAGCAAGTGCCAAAATAGAGATCCTCAAATGTTGATCATCTCTTTTTACCTCTGTTAAGTAATTACTTATTTGTTACTTTTTTGAGCACTGTGAACAACAAATACAGGAACTTCATGGGAAGGTAAGACTAGTATTGACTATAAGGAAAGTGTATTAAAATCTGGTTAAAGTTTAATTACCCTCACATGTCAATGAAATCAATATAGGGAAAGGCTGAATGATTTTTTTTGTCTAGTCAAAGGCCCAAGGTTAGTATCTGTCTAGGCAAAGACAAAAACAACCAAAATTCCCTGAACATTTTTTTGTTGTAACTCTTACATCAAAAAACTGAGATGTGAGTATTGAGTTTCCAGAGAAACTTGAACTCCATTTGAATCTAGAGAGTTCAAAGGCATGTCTTTATTGTACATCTCAATTTTACTGAGCATATTAACAAATTATGTGCTAAGGCAAGCCAGAAAGAGGGAGTACTCTCTCGTCTTCAAAACTTAATACCATGCAAGGCTTAGCTACTACTGTTAATATAAATCTTTTATACTACCCTATTTAACTTACTGCCATTTAACTTGGCATTTTTGCAAGTCATCTGACAAAAGGAAGCTGGAACAAATACAAGAAAGAGCCCTGAGGGTCTTTATAAATCCCACTCTGACATATATGAAGAACTTTTACGACATGCTGATATACCTTCTTTGTATAACAGACGGCTTCAAGATAACCCTGCACTTATAAAATAATGTACAAAGTTAAACGTGGTCTTGCACCTGATTGCGTTTCCGATATATTTGTCTGCAAAAGTTCTACACACTCACTGCAGAATAGTGACTTGGTATTACCATGTTTTAGAACTACACACTGTGGCAAACTCTCTGTTAGATATCTTGGGCCATTCTTATGGTCAAAACTTACTGTAAATCAAAGGAATTACCCCAATTTACCCATTTTTTTTAAAAAATAAGAAAATTTAATCTTGCAGACATTTTAACCAACAACATCAATAGCTGTAATCTTTGTAACCAATAGAATACTTTTCTATTTATTTTTTTAAATTTGGATCTCTTATACTTATTGAGTCTTTTATGATCATTCTCTTGTAAATAGTCAAATTTTATAAGTACCATATGTTAATTAGTGTTGCTATTTTATTGGTGTCCCCAATTAGTCCATCTGTGCTAAACACATTAACACTGAAATAAAAGTTTTACTTAGTACTTACTTAACTAAAGTTGAATCACTCAAATAGAACTAAGTATAATCTTTCATTAAGCAATTTTTAATCAATGTTTCTTTTCCAAAATCAAAGAAAGTACTATTTTTGAGCAAGGCTCTGAAAATGAAATGGTCAATTATAGCATAAAGTGGCCTTGTGTATCATTTTTTTTTATAATACTCGTAGTCTGTGGCGAACCTATATTAAGTGGTCACCCTGCCATTCTCAAGGGTTACTATGTACTAAATGCAGGTTCAACTGTATTTCACCATACAGTTTTTATTAATGATTCTTTACTCACAGCTACTGGAAGTTCAGCAGCAGCTAGCTTTTGCCGTGTCTGCTGAGAGAAAAAAAGATGCTATGATTGAACAACTTGACAAGGTTTGTAACTATGGTTTTTTTTCCACAATCATTCATATTTAATCAGCAGTTATCTAGTAAGTGATTAACTTATTAATAATAGCGTAATCAGTTTACAGTCAGATTCCTGAGAGTGGTGACAAATTAGGATAAACTGGTGGAAAGTTGAAGCAACTAGCTTATAACCCAGATCCTGAAAACCAATGAAATGTGTAGTGTGTATTGTTTTAAACTGAGCAGCTGTATTTTTTAGGGGTGAACACTTTTTTCTTCAGTGATATCATTCTTCTGCTGCAGACGTTAGCTAAAGTTGTAGATGGATGGAAAAAACATGAAAGTGAGAAGGTATCCATAATCAACCAACTCAAAATAGAACGGGAAACTGCAGAGCAGTCTCAGGAAAGACAACAGGAGGTGAGAATTATTTTATGTTGAGGCAAATCATTGGAACTGTTTTCTTAGGACATGATTTTCAAGTTCTATTGATGGTTAAATTCCAGATGTTGCTCCAGTTTGAGAAAGAGCTGGCACAAGCTGTCGAGGCTTTGACTAAAGAACAGGAAAAAGCAGCTCAGGCTGAAAGTGAAAAACAATTGCAGGTTGTTATTTGTATTTCTTGTTTTTAAACTTATAATAATGTGATAACACTAAGAAATAATTTTGGTAGAGTGTTACATCTTCTAGCCACCTAACTCACACTTAACACCTCAAATTCTTCTGATTAAATACTGGAGATTTTTGGATAAGCATAAAAACGTGCCGTTTTAATCACATACATGCAGATCTATGCAGTATCTACGGTGTTTCTTGCCGCTACTTACTGGAATTCTGTATACTGAAATAAAGAGCACCTTGTCCCAAAACCATTCATCGCATGCCAAGTCAATTTACTTGTAATGAACAAATTTCAGCTCAAGCAACAAAAGGAGGAAAGACAAAAGTTGCTAGAGTGTTTGTCAAATGAGAAAGAAACCGTGTCACGAATGGAACAGGAGAAAATTCAACTCAGAAAAGAAAAAGAAGATACCGAAGAGAAATATGTTCAGACAGATGAAGCTCTGAAGGAGGTAAAAGAAAATATTGGATTTTAAAATATATTTTTTAGCTCTTTGCCTAGAATAGTACAACAAAAGAGGCAGTTTTGATCCTTTCATTCCCAGGAGTAAGCTATAAATCATTTATCAAAAGATCACTACAATCTTAATCAGAATGGTGATGTAAAGAAAAAGAAAACCATCCACCAGGGAATGTTGTTTGATGTAGTGTTTACCAAATTCTCAGAGATGTCATTATAAGAAATATATAATCATGACAATATAATTATCTGGAGGAGATGCTTTAGCTGGCTGTATAGTGCTCAATACATAAAGTAGAGCGTAAATAGAAATAGAAAATAATATAGAAATACACCGTCTGATTATTGCAAAAGCACTAAACTACTAGTGACGGAAACTTTGTTTCGTTGTTGATTTTACTATTTCTATACTGACAATATATAGAAATTATGCTGGTTGGCTAAATTAATTAAGTTGATGACAGTTCAATTTTTTCGTTTAGCACATAAGAATCCTTGAAGAGCTTCAATCAAAAGTGAGCAGCCTGGAGGCAGAACATAATGATTCAATGGCCAAAGAGAAGGTACTAGTAAATATATCTTATTAACCAAGCGCGAAGGCTGCACTGGGAGAATATCGGCCCGAGGTCACAAGTGACACAAGTGCGGTATCATTTGGGACCATTCGGGACAGTGCCCAGTCCAATACTTAGAGAATATTGGACCGGCAATAGAGCATTTTGATTGGTTGATTTTAGTTATTGGCCCTCTGACTGCCCGAGTCGTGTAATAATATGAATTATACGATCATAAGGTTCATTATTTAAATTTATTTTTTATTTAATATTTGAATTAATAGTCATGATTTTGTTAATTTAATTAGGAAAAACTACAAAAAGAAATACAGAATACCAAGGTGAGTTGTCACAGATTTTAAAAAAGCTGCAAAACTAGGTGCTTTCAAAGGTGATCTTAAAGTTCTGTGTTTGTTGTCTTTTGTAGGATAATCAAGCTGTACTCTCCTCAGTTCAGATAGAAGTACAGCGTCTTGAAATGGAGCTTGATACAAGCAAGAGAGAAAAGGTTCAAAGTTTATCTGTCTGTATCTGTTGCAGGAAATATTCAAGTTTCCTTTTACTAATAAACGCCAATCTGCAGTTAGGTTTCAATAATGGTACAGTAAGGGAGATGACAAAATGCAGAGCTCTACTACATGGTGTATCCAAGCTATGGAGTACCCCTAAAAGTCATGTATTGGTCAGATAAAATACTTTATAAAGCTGGTAAATCATTTCGTTGTACACATCTTAATGTATTTTGATCTTGCCAGCTGTATGATTGTCACAGTTCAATACAGTCCACAAATTGACCCCCATCTTGAATTTAATAACATTAAACTGCTGGCCACTTCAAAACGAAGGCTTAATTAAATGTAATTTGTGAAAGTTTTCTTTAATAGACTGATTACCATCTTCATCTTATGATCTTCAAGAGGCCAAAAGTTTGGACGTACTTCAATTGGCAGTGGGTTTTATGTCTTTCAAAATACCTGTTTATGTAGTCTGTAAGATCACTCCTAGTATAGTTTTAACTGTTTTAGCAGTAAACCTATTAAAGAATTAAAGCAATGTGTGGTGTTTAATCTATCAATACAAGTTACACAAGGCCTCATGTGTTTCTTAATTGTGTTAAGTGATGAGGATAAAAGCTATGACTTGAAAAAAAGTAATTAATGTGTATAAACTGACATTCTCTTCAACCATGTATTTATAGCATAATAAAATTGAGATATGTAAAGAAACAACAACAACCCATGGGTCAGCAAACACATCTGACTGGGGCATTTGATTTGGAAAATGCAGTGAGCTAAAATATTTTACCTCGTGCAAAACTCGAAACAGTGGGTTCTCTTCTTCATTGGAGTTTTTTTGTCTTCCATTTAAAGGACTCATTATACAGTTGCAAAACCAAAATGGAGGAACCAGTAAGACTGAGAGCCCCTTGCTCACCAAAAAACTGGGCTGTATCAAACTGTGACAATCGGAGAGCTGGCAAGCTCAAAATGTGTTAATTACAAGATGTCTACGTCTATACGATTATTTTTAGGGGTACTCCATTTAAGTACTCCATAGAGCAGGGCTCTGCATTTTGTCATCTCCCGTACAGTAAACAGCTGTGCCTGGAAAAGGAGCTGTAAGGTGGAAACATAAACACAAGTTAGAGCCCACTTGCAGCCACTAAACAGCCAACAATAAGAGGTCTAATTGGCAACAAACATAAACACAAGAGCCCACTTGCAGAGGAAAATTCTCTTCTACAAATTCTATTCATATGATCAGTTTACCTATTGTATGGAATGTTTGAATACTAAATGAAGAAATTCCTTTTTCTATGTTCTGTAATCTTCTAGACATCTATTTCTTACTCATAACTTCTTGGTTGTTTTTTTAATTTCAGGAGAGTTTGAAGATGGAATTACGTTTGATGGAAGCCAAACATGAAGCAAATAGGACCAAAGAAGAGACAGAAAGGCAAGCTGACCTGGAAAGAGAGGTAAATTGTAAATTTTTGTTGAAAATATTGCTGGATTTCTTATTCAAGAGGAGGATTTATCCTTACTAGATAACTTTTGACACCAGACTAAAAAGCACTGTCATGACATTTTATCAATATATGATATTCTTCCCTTTTTTCTTGCACCTCTTAGATGACTCAGCGACTTGAAGAGATTCATGAACAAATGTCAAAAACAGAATCAGAATTAAGGGAATCACACAGGAAACAGGTATCTTATGGAAAGATGTTAGACTGCACAATAAATAAAGAATGTTGATTTCATACTATAAGGGAATGTCTTTTTTTAAACAGCTTCTGGAGATGAGCAAGAAACACAAAGAAGAACTTGAACAGCAGTTGGCCAAATTTCATGAGGTTACTTGTAATTATTTATCACCCCAAGTCATAATTTAGCAGAAAACAAATACACTTACATCTAAATATGTAAATAAAAGCTCATCTTGTTCTTAATTTTTTTTATGCAGGAGTTGAAGAAAAAAGAAATCAAGGTGAAGTCTACTACTGATGAATATGAAGAAAGGTATTTAAATTGGAATTCTCAATGAAGTCATTATTTTCAATTTTTACCAGAGTTAGGGTTGTGGGATAAATGAAGGTTGACAAAGTGTAACTCTTTGGTTCCAGAATCAGTGCTTTTCAAGAAAAGATGGCTTCTCTCTCTAACTCAAGGCTTTACATGGAGAAAGAAAGGTGATCTCTTTTCATGAGATTCATGTTTCATGACAATGAATCAATTGTACTTTTTTTAAGTCAACTATCTAAGTATAAAATAATGCACCTACTGTATTCCTGCTGACTATGTATTGGTTACATCAGATCGTTAGTTACTAACTAATATAAATCTCTGGAGTGGCTCCAAGCTGACTAATGATCTGCTTTATGATTAATTTGGTTCTTAGACAGATGCTCTCTGTGCGGCTACAACAGATGATGCAGTCTCACTGCAAGGATGCCATCAAGTTGTTGAATTCCAGTACAGTTTCACTCTCTCCTCCATCTAGAACACAAGAGGTGTGATCATTAAAACCTGATTCTCCCTAACAGTGTTTGCTACCTAGAATATCAAAAAGAAACAACATTAAATATCCACAGAGATGAATAACAGTGATCTCATCTGTCTACTAATGTTGTCTGAGGTTATAAATCTTTTAAATTTCAGCTTGTTCACAATTACAGCTCCTTTGTGAAGAATGCTGAAGAGGAAAACTTTGACTGGGAAAAAGACCCAGGCTACCAGCCTGGTAAAGTACCAATCACAGCTTTGCCTTTTCCATCCTCGCAGCTACAGAAACACCAACACAAGATACCTGACAAAATCTCAGCAAGTTACACAACTCAGAAACCAGTGTATAATGGCAGCCATGACAGTGTTAAGGCTGAGAGTGGCATTTACTCAGGGAGTTATCTCAGCGTCAGTGGAGACATGGTTAGGCATGGATCACTATCACATGACCAGTCTTTAAATCCAGGGTTTTTTCCTCTTCATACTGTCAATGATGATAGGAGTGTAATTGAGGGACAGGTAATTGGTTTTAAGCTGTAGCTCATGGTAGATTACTGTCAATCTCACTGTCTTCTTACTGAAACAGGAATAGCATTAAAATGTCACCCAAGATGTAATATTCTTGAGATTGTGATTGAGATTCAGTTATAATTACAAATTAACGATTTATTTTTATACTCTGTATAGTCTGTGATCAATGGAGATACTTGTGAGGGAGAAGAAACACTCCTTGAACAAGAACTAGAGACAGACAACACACTACTATCAGTTTTTAATCAAGACCACCATCTTCAAAGGTGAGGCATGGGTGGGACTCTCAATGATGTAAGCTTTTACTATCTTAAAGAGGGTCTGCTTAATACTGATTTGATGATTTAAATGGCAAACAATTTCTAAGTGAATTGGAATAGGAGATTTGCCTAAATCTTAAATATTTGTGTATGAGTTATTTGTTTTGACGAGTCTGAAAGAGTTTAGAATTTTTTTTTTTTTTTTTGGATTGACAGGAACATCTCCCCTGCAGCTGTGACTGATGATACTATAACAGAGAAACTTAAGCAACAGGAATCACGCCAGGCAGAATTAAACCACTATGTGAAAATGGTGAATGTTAAAATAATGATAAAATATTATCATTTGTCTTACAATGTGGTCCCTTATGATGTAAATGACGTTTCGACTGCACATGCTCCACTATGATAGGTTGGTATTCCACAGCTGTAATTGACACATTTTGATCCTTGATGTTAGTGAGTTGTTCCCTCAGCAGTCCAGCAAAACAGTTAACATTTTATTTTGTCCTTTGGTTTTTTTTAAACATGAATTTGCTGTTTTACACGTTTCTAACTTTCTTATCTCATAATGATTAAGAATGATTGGTTAACTTAGTTACCTACTGATTCAATATTTACTGACCAACAGCTTTTGCAAAGATCACCTACAGATCAACCTTATGAGGTAACACAGACTCTTTCAGAAAAATACTGGTAACCCTATTCTGTTTTTAAATTCAAAGCTTTGAATATTTAATGTTTGCAGCAGGATAAACACGAGCTCCCTGATAGACTTATGCTGATTCCTTCCTCCAGTGATTTGCAAGGTTTGTTTCAATTGATAGTATTGCTGCAGTCAAACCCTATTATATAAAACATTTCTGTTTTCTTTGAATTTGTTAGAAACAAAAAAACAAAAACAAACCCTACTATTTAGTCAAAACCTATGATTATTCATTCCAAAGAATTAAACGCCAAGTTTGAATAGAACCCTATTTTTAGTAAAAGGTTTATTCACTTATACAGGCCAATTTACCCTCAAAATGTTGTTCCTCTTGAAACTGCCAACTATTGTGAGATTTAGTCCTATATTTTGGGGACATTACTGTAGAGGTTCTCTTCCTTTTGAAGTGAGAATTTTACATCAAGCAAACAGCATCATTTCTGCAGCTGAGTGTGTGAACCTTCTAACAATTGTGTTTATTGATTCTCTCCCTGTGAACCTCAGAGAGATACTCTAACTCTTCCTCAGGAGTAATTTCTCCCATTCATTCAGATGATCAGTTTGAACAAAGACATGGGATGTCCTCACACCACCATCCATTTAAAGACTCAAGTTCACTTTCCCATCAGGTACTCCACTCGGTAATATACAACACCTCTTATCAACTGATTTCTTGGTCTGTTCTGTAATTACGCACAGATTTTCTTCTCTTCAGATTTGTAACATATCATATGGACCAAGAAGACAGGGCTTGGGAAAATTTTTCATATTTTCATTATGTATCTAACTGGCTTAGGAATGATTTCCAGGCATGCAGAATTTACAGATGCTCATCAAAAACAGAGAACTATTTCAAAATCATAACTGAGTCATCAGCACATGATCACAAATGATATAAAGACAACAACAGATTGAAAGTTTCATTGGCTAACTGAACTTTAGGACAATTGACAATAAATAACATGAGGTTTTTGCAACAAAATTATTAGCATTTTAAGTTTGGAAGGTATGTAGAAGGTTAAAGCCTGATAAATTAACCAATCAAAGTGTACATTATAAGTGGATCTCAATACTTCAGAAAGTAACCTTAAGCCCCACCACATTTTAGATCTGACCTGTGTTTCTTTTGAGTTTCCTACTGAAATTTTGCTCCCTAAATTCTTCAACGGAACCTGAACAGTGACACACTCACAGGGTGACCCCTTGCATCAATTTGAATTACTGTAACATTTATTTCTGATCATTTCACAGGAATTTAAACATAAAGCACACCAAACACAAGCTGCTTTCACAAAAACCACAGTCACTCCCGGTGTATTTAGCATTCCAGGCCAAGCAAGGGAAGATGTTGGTTTTACAAGCCAGGTAAATGATTAACTGCATGACTCAGTGGCTTTTGTGTTTAATTGAATATTTCAATATTTTGTGGTTTGGTGGTCTATTGTCATCTGTGTGTTCCATTTTCAATTTCTTCAGGTACCATCCCATGTACCATACACTCAATTAGGTCAAGTTGCACCTCACACACCACCGCGGAGAGAACAAGACAGTGATGACCACCCTCCTCTCCACCCTCCCCACCCAGGAACATTAACTCCTCACCAAATAACTCAGTTGTCCAGAATGCTTGGACTATTCTCAGAACCTGGTCAGCCACAAATTACAGCTGAACAACTCTTTGCTTACCTCAGAAGAGTGCAAAACAAGTAAGTTGTCCTTGAAGGTGCACATTGCAGTTTAAAATCTTGTTATTTCCTTTGGATTATTATCTTGATTGAAAATTATTTTAAGTATGCTTTGTTTCTGGCTGTATTTTCTGTTGGCAGCCCACCAGGTAACAGCCACTCAACATCATCAACATCAAACCCAGTCAGCACAAAGGCCCACAGCACACATGAGCACCATGTACCAGGGCCTGGACATAGTGTAACAAACTCTCCTCCCCAGGCTCCACAAAAACAACACTTGATAACCAACAAGGCTAGAAGAAGTCTGGATTCTAACTTTCACAAGAGACAGGTAACAAACTACAGTCAAAGCTCCTATGAACTTTTTTGCAGCTCATGTAAGGTGTTGAAAGATTTCAAAGGGCAAGGCAAATGGAGTGAATTTTAAAAATGGTTCAATTTTTATATTCTATGTCCCAGTAAACATTAAATATGCATGCAACATCTTCCTTTAAATTGTTTTGTTTTTCAAAGTTTTATTTTCTTTCAAACAAAGGGTTCTTCTGTTAGTGGTCATCCTATTAATCCACCAGGAAGCCTGGTTACAAAATCTGCTGAGCAGCCAGGCCAGACCAGAGCTCACAAACAGCCTGTGAAACAAGTGTCAAGCCATGTGGGACCCCCCGCTAGGAACCCAACTGGACTGAACGATGGAACTAAATCAGCACCAAAAGGAGGACAACAAGGCAAAGAACCTAAGGCCAAATCTGCTCCTGCTTCAAAACAGATCAAGATCAATGCTTGGAGATAGCTAATATTTATTATGTTATTTATTTTCTCACTTATCAATATGTTTTACAAAGCAAAGCAACTATACCCTTATTTTACAATACAACATCATCTGAGATATCTTGTGATTAAAGCAGTAGCTTTTCATTTCTTGTTTCAGATATTCTTACTGAAACAAACTATTGGCATCACAAATTGCTAATGGCAGGATTAAAAAAGGAATAATGAACAGAAACTAATGAATAGAAACTAATGAGAAAAATAATATTACTTGATTACCTTGAATAAAATTCATAAAACTGTGAGCCCCAGATATATTTCTAGAATAATGTCTCAAAAAAGGTAAATCACACCAGGGATAGACAAACTAAACACAAAAATAAAATTACTGCAGTTGAAGTTTTGCTTTTGTTGTTCCTTTTGGAGTCATTGGTCAGAACAAAATAACAGCACAAATATTTTGGCCCACTCTGGTATCAAGTTCGATACCCGGCAAGCTCTCCATGTCGTCTCCAATGCTGAAGACTTCTTCTTCAGAAAGGGGAAGGACAAATGAATTATAATCTTTTTTTTTTTTTTTTCAATTTTGGGTGTCATATTCTAACAATAATGTCAGTTAAAGATGGTCAAACTCCTAATATACGAGTCCAACTTGGAGGCAAATAACTCACTTTGGATGGGTTCATTAAGTTGACAAAGCGGATTTTTTACCACATACTCAACATACATCTGAAAATGAAAAAAAAAAAAAACACTCATAACTGAAAAGTTGAGTACATCTTTTCCAAATGATTGATACAGCACCTCCTGGGTGCAGGTTGAAAAGAGTTCTTTTTTGTTTAACATGCAGTACAAATACCATGCTTACCTTGCTGTAGATATTGAAGAGAACATCTTTGGTGCTACCTGCACTTAAGTCTGTGTTCAAGATGAACTTAAGGCCTGTTGGTGTTTCTTAGAAATGTAATTTGTATTTACTTGTCCGGTAATTTAGAAAGCCATCTTTTCTGTTCATGAGTTAAGGATAAAAATAATGATAATAATAATAATGTTTAATACTTATAATGCCCATACATAAATTTACACATGCTCATATCCACACAAATAAACAAACATATATGTCAAGTAAATCCCAACAGGCAGAAGGCAGACGGCAGACAAGTTGGCTATTTACAAAGGGCAGCTGAGGAGTTGAACTTGGGGCCACTGTAAACAAATGCAATGAGTAGCAGACGGAGGACTTGAACCCGAGACCAACAGCTTACAAGTCCAGCACCATAACAGCCACACTGCCTCCGCTCATCACATGGAAAGGTTAAAAATATCAATACATAACAATCTGAATCACACTTAGGAAGATGCTATCACATCACAGAAGCATTCGTGGGACTTGAGTGCCTATATGTCTATCTTTCATAAAGAGCTTCAAACTGTCGTCACTACACTTATTCTAAGGTTACAGATCAAGGTAGCTTGATGGTGTGTGTGTGTGTGTGTGTGTGTTACTTTCTCTTCCGAAAGTGATTAAATCTACCCATTGCCTGGGTAGTAC